AGTGTCCCCGCGGCCCGGTCCTCGACCAGGCCTCCACCCCCAGGAAGCAGCCCGTGACAGCTGACTAACACCCAGGTACCTATTTTACTGCTAGGTAACAAGGGCATAGGGTGAAAGAAACTCTGCCCATTGTTTCTCGCCGGCGCCTGGGATCGAACCCAGGACCACAGGATCACAAGTCCAGTGTGCTGTCCGCTCGGCCGACAGGCTCCCATAGCAATCTACGGTCTACGACTGTTGCCCAACAGGAAGGCCAGACTGCTTGTGTACTGTACTGTACTCTACTGTACTCTACTGTGGGGAAAGAGAGATAAGGATAGCAGAGACGAAGGCTCTCGTGTGTGTGTTCAGCTATTTTTACTCGCTTCTTTGTGCCTGCAGGACCAAACCTTTGCTCTTGGGTCTCACCTTTCTAGCCACCGGTTGCCTAATGCAGGGGTCTCCAAACTATGGCCCGCGGGCCACATCCGGCCCGTCACATAATTTCATCCGGCCCTCCAAACAAATCCCTGTGTGGTGGCCTTGAAAAAATAATTATCGTACGAATGGCATCGCATAATTATTCAAAGCTGGGGCTGCTGACTGGTGGCGCTCAACCCGAGTCAGTTTTCCTCTCTCTCGATAGTGTGATGCACAGATACTAATACTGGTAGGTATGTGTTGTGCATTACAACCAATCAGTTGTGTATAACTGTATATTGTGGGGATGGAGGGCGAGTGGGGCTTCGCTGCTTCCGTTTCAGGGAGCACAAACACTGTACAATATTCTTTTCTCTGTACTTTGACAATGCCTTTATCTTAGTTATACAAAATAGCAATAATACTATTGTAGCCAAAAATATTGCATGTTTAAAATAGTTAAAATGGTAACCATTAAGTTTATCAACGAAAGCTGTTGCCATAATATTTACCACTTTATAATAATATGCTATGCTTTTTAACACCACATACAAGCTGTTTTTTTCCTGTAGAATTTATTTCATTTATTTTACCCTTATGTTTTCAGATATGGAAAAGATAAAGAAAAGAAAAGTGGACATTGAGTGCCGTCGGTTCAATGACGAATGGAAGATAAAGTACTTTTTTGTGATAGCAAATGATAAAGCTTTATGCATAATATGTAGAGACAGTGTTGCTGTTCTGAAGGAATACAATATTCGTCGGCACTATGAATCTAAACATGGCTCAAGTTATTCTCACATCACAGGAGCAGAACGCACTAAAAAGTTTGAATCATTTCAGCACAGTCTGCATTCTCAACAAGCTGTTTTCAGTAAGAAAAAATCTGAAAATGAAACTTCAACTAGAGCCAGTTACAAAGTTGCCTATGTGTTGGCTAAAAAGGGAAAACCTTTCACTGATGGTAGTATCATAAAAGAGTGTATAGTGGAAGCAGCAGGAGAGGTATGTCCAGAAAAAGAAAACCTCTTCAAAATGATAAGTCTTGGGTCAAATACTGTTGCTCGTAGAATTGAAGATTTAGGAGGCGACATAATTCGGCAAATAAAGAAAAAAACAAAAAGATTTTGTTGGTATTCTCTTGCGTTGGATGAATCAACTGATGTGTGTGATACTTCTCAGCTCTTAGTATTCATTCGTGGTGTTGATAGTGAATTTAATGTGAGCCAAGAATTAGCATCAGTTCACAGCATGCACACCACAACAACTGGAGAGGACATTTTTAATGAAGTAAGTAAAACTATGACAGAATATAACCTGGAATGGAAACAAGTGCAGTGTGTGACAATTGATGGAGGAAAGAATATGTCTGGGACAAAGAAGGGATTGGTTGGGCAAATTACAACAGCTTGTGAGGTTGGAGGATTCTCAAAACCCATTTTTCTGCATTGCCTTATCCATCAACAAGCATTGTGCCTAAAATATGTTGATATGTCATGTGTCATGAAACCTGTTGTTTCTGTGGTTAATTTCATTAGATCTCATGCACTCAACCATCGCCAGTTCCGTGATTTTTTGAAAGAAATTGATGCGGAGTTTGTTAACTTGCCTTATTATACAGCAGTTAGATGGCTTAGTTGTGGAAAGGTTTTGCTGCATTTCTTTGAGCTCAGATTAGAAATTGATTTATTTCTCACAGAGAAAAATAACCCTCAGCCATTATTATCAGAATGTGAATGGATTTGGAATTTGGCATTTTTTGCAGATATGACAGGTCATATGAATAACTTGAATCTGAAATTGCAAGGCAAAACAAATTTGATCAGTGACTACTTTGTTCATGTCAAGGCATTCAGAGCAAAACTTGCGCTACTTGAAGGCCAGGTGAAGGGTAAGAATTTTGCTCATTTTCCATGTTGTGAAAAATTTCATGCAGAAAGTAAAGTTGAATTTCCTTTTTCATTTGCAAATGAAATAATTTCAGATTTGAAAAAACAGTTTCAGAAGCGATTTGCTGACCTTGATGCCAAAGCAAATGAAATCAGGCTCTTTCATAATCCATTTGACTGCAATGCTGAAAATCTTCTAACTCAATTTCAAATGGAAATTATTGATCTCCAGGCAGATGACAGACTGAAAGATAAGTATAGAGAAGGAAATCTGATTGAGTTTTATAAATGCCTGCAGCCAGATCAGTTTCCAAATTTGATAAAGTTTGCTTGTAGTTTTGTGTCCATTTTTGGTTCAACATACTTGTGTGAACAAACTTTTTCCAAAATGAAGTATGTGAAATCTAACTATCGAGCAAATTTGTCTGATGATCACTTGAAATCAATTCTTACAATTGGCTCATCTAATCTGGAACCTGATTTTAATGAAATTTTGAAGTCAAAACGACAGTATCATTCGTCACACTAATTTGGTTGCATAAAACTAAAGGCAGGAATCTATTTAGTTTACCCTGATTTTTTCCAAAAAGATATGTTTTAATTTTTCCATGTTTATACTTTAATATTTGAGGAAATTAAATTACTAGCACTTTGTTTTTTGTTTTTTTTTTCATTTTTTATTCCTCCGGCCCGCATAAATATGGGAAATATATAATGTGGCTCTTACATTGAAAAGTTTGGAGACCCCTGGCCTAATGAAATGACTTCCGTCCTATTTTCCTATCATTTCTTTTTCCGAAATTAATGGTTTTGGATTTTACAACCTGTCCGTTTAGTGCATTAAACTTTCCTGCTAGTCATACAATGAAAGAAAACCTTTATAACGTTCTTGTAACTCATCGATTCTCATTGATTGTTATTGGTACTCATTTTGAACATCTCTTTTTCCATGTTGTCAATTCCCGTATTTTGTCTATTATCCCCCCTTCCCCCCTCTCTCTTTCTCTATTATCCATTTCCATTGTCCTTCAAAAACATACCTTCAAACACCCCCCAAAGGATACCTGATCAACCAGGCTGTGATTCATAACGTCAGACTGCTAGCAACCGCGTCCAACAGACTGGTTGACCAGTCTAGCAACGAGTAGGCCTGGTCGAAAACCTATATTAGAAAAACATATATTAGAAATAGTACGGGTACCTGAGGTGGTCCGCCAGCCATACCTCCTGCCCCTCGCCCCTCTAAAGGAGACGATGTTTTTGGTAGTAATCTCTCTTGTGGAACTGTGTCAGAGGCGTGTTGGGCAGTTCACAAATACACATTCTGTCCAGTCTTCTCTGTCTTGGTTTATTTTTGTTACTTTATCATAGAATTCCTGTAGGTTTGTTAGGCATGATTGCCTTTCCCTGATCCCATGTTGGCGCTAGTTTATATATCAGTTTGTCACAAGACGGAATGTTTGTCAGGAATACTGGTCCCTCTGTGTGTGTGTGTGTGTAAAATAGACGGATAGCGTGCACGCCGTACATGGGGACTGGGAGGGCCACACACAGCAGTGCGGCCAGCACCTTCACAAGACCATAGTGCAGGTGACCGCCGCCAGGTACACACTTGACCCTGCCCGTCCACCATCATGTTCCTTCCTGTACCAGACCATCACCCCCCCCCCCTTGAACCTGCCCCCCCCCCACCCCCCCTCCTCGAACACCAACCTTGGAGATTATGGAAGTCACATTATGTTGACAGCCCGTCCTCCAAACAAAGACCCAAAAGTGATTCCATGCACCCGCCAACCCCCCAGCTGTTTATGAATGAAAAACGGTTTACACACGACTAACAACTGATGATGTCCGAATACTTCCGGAACAAGTGCTTCACTGACGAATTTTGTTCGAACCACGACGCTGTAAATGCTTCACCCACGTACTACAAATACAAATAATCGCCAACAGAACCTAAACACCTAACCTAACCTATGCCTATATATGCACAATATGCTATTATAATATTTATTTATATTTGAAGAAATTCGCGTTTTGAATGAACAGCATGTAAAAATTTATAAATGCATCTGTGGGGTCGACCGCTGGATGTAATGGACTTGAGTCGAGGACGGGTTGTATGTTGGAGAGTTCTGTGGTCCACTAATCTATTAAGCATTGCAAATAGCTCACCTTGGCCAGTTTACTTGTCTGGTGCTCAAATATATTGCACATCCCATCCTCTTAAAAATAACTTCACTTTTGGCTCGTATGCGCATTATGGCCAAATTTGGGCGCAATTTGAAATGAAATCGACTCACAAAAGTGACGTACTGTTCCGTTTTCTGTTGGAGTCGTCCGGCTTACTCGGCAAGCTTAGAAGAGGAAACTTTCCATTAACGTTTTTCATACCGTTTTGAAACTTTATGAGAATTTCCTGCCCACCTAACCTACCAGAGGACCCTTAACTTACTGTTGTTGAAAAAAAAAAACAAATTTTAATTTTTTTTTTAATTTTCAAATTACGTCCATATTCGGCCATACGAGCAAACGGCCAAAAGCGACGTACTTTTTAAGAGAACGGGTTGCAGTGTGCAGGGTTTGGCGTGTGTATGAAGTACTAGGAGCTACTGTTGGTAAAATGACCAATTATTTTGTACGAGGGTAAATGGGGGCTAAGTTATAATATTTATGTAAATATATTTATGCACGATTTGATATATTTTTCAGATGGCGGCCGTGGACGACCCAGAAGCGAGTCTCCGAGCAAGGCTCAAGCAGGGAGCCCCGCGGGCCCCCACACCCCTCAGGCTCCACAAGACGGACACAAGGTTCCTCTTAACACACAGACGGCCCTCTCTACCAAAACAGGAACTAATAGGTTTGATATGTTGGGTAATAGTAATCATTAGTTATACACACACAAAAGTGTCTGCTTTTGTTGTTTCGTGTTAATTTACGGTAGTAAAGAGCGCGGTGTGCAGGGTAAACATGTTAAGAAATTACAATATCAGGCTTACCATATCAATAATGACACTAGCTTACCACATATGTAAGTTGCTTAGCTTAGAGACTGTATACTTGTGGTCGGTCTCGAACCCTTTGATGATGTACCAATATGCATGAAGTTTTACAAGAGTGTTATGTGTCAGGTACGTGAGCAGGCTGGTGTGGGTGCCGCGCATGACGCCAGAGAGGTTCTCCACCACCATCGTCGTGTCCACCCAACACCCGACCTTCACTGACGCCATCTACATCAAGGTATTAACTTTGTTTACGAGTACAGTATTATGATAAAATTTAAGATTATATATATAGGAAGCGTTAACAGATTGAATTGGCACCTATAAATAGATGTGTGGCTTGAAGCACAACGATATTCATACGAAATTACACTAATGTGATGCGTTTTGAAGGGAAACCAGATTAAATTACAATAATGTGATATATCCATGAGAAAAAAAGACAATAAGAGGGTTTGAACTCACGTCTCTGGACTCCTCCCCGGAGACACGCATTACCCACTATACCACAATGACCTAAAAGATATCCCAGCCTCAGGTTCTATCCTGACATACTATTTTCTCCTATCATCCTTGTGTAACTAAGGGTCCTCTTGGTCAAAGGGGTTTGCACATATTGCATAACAAAAGGTTAACAGAAACAAAATTTTATTTTTTAAACTCGTCTGCCTAGTATGAATGTTAAGTAATTTTACATATAACCTAGTTTACCTACATGTAGCCTAGTTTATTCTAATTTCAACTGATAAACATCCTGACAAATAATTGGGGATGAGTTAGTATAGACCAGCCGCGGGTTTCCCACCTTTGTCATGGCTATTGTACCAATAGAAAGTTCTGGGACCAGATTCACGAAGCAGTTACGCCAGCACTTACGAACCTGTACATCTTTTCACAATCTTTGACGGCTTTGTTTACAATTAATAAACAGTTAATGAGCTCCGAAGCACCAGGAGGCTGTTTATAACAATAACAACAGTTGATTGGGAAGTTTTGATGCTTGTAAACTGTTAAATAAATGTAACCAAAGCCGTCAAAGTTTGAGGAAAAATGTACATGTTCGTAAGTACTTGCGTAATTGCTTCGTGAATCTGGCCCCTGGTGTCTATGCATATTTTCGTAGGCTGTAGGCGAGAGGCGGTCAAATAGCTCAAAATTCCCATTGTTAGGAACAGAAAGCCTGGGCTTAGGCTAACCGATGTCTCACTGTACCCTAGGTCAGGCCAACAATTGACCTCCCATTGGATGCAACCCACAACTGCTTAGCCACCGGGTAACTATTTACTACTAACTGAAGAGACGACTCGGGTGAAAGGAAACATGCTCAATCGTTTCCGTCTTGTCCGATAATAAAACCCGGGTCCCCTCTGTTGTGAGCCGAGGATGTAGACTACTGTGCTACAGAATCCTAATAAAAATGGAACTCCCTCATAAATTGTTCCCTGCAAACATCATCCGTTTTCTTTCAAGTTATTCTTTGCCACACATTAATATTTAACGAAAATACGTTCATCTTCTCGAGGTCATATCTTGAGACGATTTCGGGACTTAGCGTCCCCGCGGCTCGGTCCCTTTCTTTGTTACTCACACACCTAGGAAGCTGCCCGTAGCAGCTGTCTAATTCCCAGGTGCCTATATACTGCTAGGCGAACAGGAGCACCAGGGTGAAAGAAACTCTGCGCATTTGTTTCCGCCTCCACCGGGGATCGAACCCGGTACCTTCAGGACTACGAATCTGAAGCACTGTCCACTCAGCTGTCAGGCCACATTACTAAATATAATCAACACAAGTATAAAAGTAAGTAATTATCAAAAGAAGGCACCAAACCGGGAAGGCTATGTAGCACCATCAAATGTGCAGAATAATCAGAGGGCACTAAATATCACCAAGGATGCCAATATGAGAACAGAAATGCATAAGGCGAACGATATCAAAAGTATCCGATTCGCCAAAAATTCTATCGGGGAACAAGCAACTGCGAGGGACGGTCGGAAAGCAAGACAAACACTCGTCCTGGAAGTCAGGACATTCAACAAGGATATGTACGACTGTAAGAGGGACAATGCAATTTGGACAATAAAGAGCAGGGCAGCACTCCATTAAGTGACCATCAGTTAAGCGAGTATGGCCAAAACGCAACTTCGCCAGAGCCGTTTCCCATCGCCGGTTACTGTGGTAGGAGGAAGGCCATGGGGACACACTACGCTTAAGAGTACGCAGTTTGTTACCAACAACCCTGCCAATGGGCAAGAATGGAGGAATGAATAACTGGGTAAAAGTCGGAATAAGGTATACCTTTATGGGAGATGGGACAAGAGCGGACAACTTCCCTAGCGGCAGCATCTGGACGCTCATTTAAAGAAACGCCAATATGGCTAGAAACCCAGCAAAACTCTACCGATTAAATTTACTGGAGATAAGAAACGGCCAATGTTGAATCTCGACAACCACTGGATGGACCGGATTAAAGGACCCTAGAGCCATGAGGGCACTACGAGAGTCAACTACAACCACAAAGAAGGATTGACAACGAGAAAGCAGGAGACAAAGAGCATAGAGAATAGCATAAAGTTCTGCTGCGAACACGCTAGTCTCCGGAGGCAGGCGACACATATAAGTGTGGTCAGGAAAAACAACAGAGTAGCCTAAACCGTCCGCAGACTTAGACCCATCAGTGAAGATGGAAATGGAGCGGGAATGTGAAGAAAAGTGTTCAAGGAAAAGGCGTTTCGGAACCATAGTAGGGGTAAAAGCTTTAGTGATACGGGTCAGGGACGTACAAAATTTAGGAAGGGGAACCCTCCACTGGGGCAAGGATGGAACAATATGAGGAGGAACATCGCTAATACGAATCGAAAGAGAATCCTGTAAGTGAGATAACTGGACAGAAAGAGGGAGGTGGTGAAGAGGAACAGGAACTACAGGAGGGGTAAATGTCTAGCACGACAGAAGCGAGAGTAAGGATGTTGTAAGGACCGCGCAAGATAGCGAAGACAGTAGCGATCACAGCGGTCCTGAAGAGATAAGAAGCCAGTGTCAACATACAAGCTGAGGGCGGGAGTCGAACGAAAGGCACCAGAGCTGAGGCGCAACCCAGTATGGTGCAAAACATCAAGACGGCGAAGAGTAGGAGATGCAGACGAGTAAGCAAAGCAACCATAATCGAGTTTAGACAGGACGAGAGAGGAACGTAAAGAGAGGATCATGCGCTTATCCGCTCCCCAAGAAGTATGGGACAAAACCTTAAGGAGGTTAAGGGCCTTAGAGCATTCAACTCGGAGGTAAGAGATATGGGGTGACCAAGACAAACGAGTGTCAAAGATTAACCCCAAAAGCTTAGCGGAATCCCTGTACACAAGGAAATGACCATAAAGCGACAAAGAGGGACGAAGAACGACACACTTCCGAGTAAAAGTCATAGCACAAGTCTTAGACGTAGAGAACTTGAAGCCATGATCGGTGGCCCAAGACGACATGGCATCAATCGCAAGTTGAAGCCGCCGTTGAGTCCTCGCCTGACAACGACTCCCAGACCCGGTTATACAGACTCAGCAAATACCGAGACGTGCATGGAGGGAGATGGCGAAGCATCTCATAATGAATGTCACCAGAGCCCTCTGCCATAGAACCACAGAGGGCCAGGGCAGACTGAAGTTCAGAGAAAGAGAAGGGATTGTTATAGGGAAGTCTGAGATTGGATGAGATTCAAGAACAGGTTTACAAAGAAGGAAAAACTGAGGAAGATGAGAACCAGAGCTAACATGAAAAGTGGGGAATCCAGTTCGGCTGCAACCTGCACCGGGTCCGCCACAAGAGTACCACGGATGTGAAGGACTGGCGAGACATCGGGAACGAACTTACCCGCTATCTTGTGTATATGCTTCCAGATCTGTGGCAGAGGAGTTTCGGACGTAATGGTGGAAACATAAAACTTTTAGTTTAGCCATACGGATGGTCCTACGGGCCACCGCACTCGCCTTCCAAAACAAAAGAAAAGAATCGGCCGTCTGCCGGCGGTGGTGTCTCTTTCAGGCTGCATGCTTACATAGGACAGCCCGGGCACAGTCCACATTCCACCAGGGAACGCACTTCCGCGTGCCCAGAGAGGTAGAGCGAAGAATAGAATGGAGGGCAGCGTCAAAGACGGTGTCATGAAAAAAAAGGAGGGCGCGAGGGAGAGGCAGAATGGAGAGGTTGGAGAGAGTAGCTCGGATGGTAAAGAGGTTCCAGTCTGCCTTGGCAAACTGCCACCTAGGGGAAGGAGAGGGGAGGGTGAAAAGAAAAAAAAGGTAACAAGGATGAGGAAATGGTCACTGCCATGGAGGTCAAGAACCTTCCATGAGAAATCCAAGTAGAGACGGCGAGCAGAGAGAAAGATCAAGACAGGAAAGGGTCATGTGTGAGTTCATGAGTCCAAATGAGTGGGCTCACCAGAATTCATATAGGATAGGATAGAGAGGATAAACAGTTCAAGAAGGCGACCCCGGGTGTTTGTCAGAACATCACCCCAGAGGGTATGTCGACAATTTAAATCACCCAGCAGGAGCACAGGCTACTGCAAGGAGTCCAGTAGGTGTTTAAGATCAGGAAGAGAAAGCAGGACATTTGAGGGGAGATAAATGGAACAAACCGTATACCATTTACTCACAAAGACTTGGGCAGCAGAACATTGGAGAGGCAATGGAAAAAGTAGGGGGACGAAGGGAATATCAGAACGAATCAAGTGAGCAGTAGAGTTATGGGCCCCAACAAAAGCTTGGGGGGGAGGAGAGAGAAAGGAATAGCCACGGAAGCGACCAGGGCGAGCACTAAGCATCGGTTCCTGGAGACAGACACAAAGGGGAGAAAACTGTGAAATCAGAAGTTGGAGTTCATGGAAATTGGTGGAATATCCACGAATATTCCAATGAAGAATAGACCGACAAAATGAGAAAGGACAGCAACAGAAAACAATGAAGAAACAAAGGGTAAAAAAGGAACACAGCATGTTAAAGAAGCTCAGGATCACCGATCATCCAGACTGCTGGAAGAGTGATGGTGCACAGACAGGCGGCGTGGAGAGCTAGGAGACGGGAGAAGGAGGGGAAAGAAGATCGGAAGGAGATGAGAAAGAAGACTCAGGAGACATGACAGACTGTGTAGAAAGAAGGGTAACCCCAGACAGAGAGCAAAGTCAGGGTTAGGGGGTATGGGTAAACTGAGTAAGGATGGAGGGAAGGGAGTGGGAGGACAGACCA